AGAGATGGCGTTGTGTTGCAGGAGTACATGTAGGGAGCTGGAGGCTCATACTCGTCGCTCTCCTCGGTGTTGGGTGTCGGACAAATGTCCCAAGGCGCCAAAAGGTAAGACACAGGTAAACCACGGCTGTCAACACTGGCTTGACTGTGGGTGTTCACTCGAGTCGAGGTCGGAGCTTCGGGGTCTGTATCCCAGGGCAGAAACCAGGAATCCGGACGGGCATTAATCAAATCTTGCTCTCGTCGTAGTAAAGACTTTAATTTCCTGTGAAGTGTGTCAAAGAACGACTTCAACCGGATATGTAAGATTTCAAAGTGAGTTTTCAAAGCCATCAGCCAAGCTGTATAAGTTTGTATTAGAAGTCGATGGAGCAGATGGGCGGAGATGAGGTATGTAAATCCAATATATATAGAGTATAATATAGCGCTAGTGAGTATTAAGCGGCGTATCAGTTCACGATATGTTCAAATAAACCCCTTAAAGTATGCCGTCTTTCTATATACGACTAATATCATAATAAGTAATCCTAGGTATTAGTGGATCTGTATTATAGGTCATACTATTTGTAGATATGGATCTACAGGAAAAGAAGGAGGAGCACACTGCTGAAAGGAGTGAGATAGAGAGAGAAGAAGAAGGAGGAGGAAGGAAGACTATCTAATATATGGGTTTGTGGATCCCTCCATGGTGAGTCGGCAGATCCCTCGGAAGATCCCACGATGGTAAATCCCTCGAGGGTAAGGTGCTGCAGAATCATCCCAACACATACGGTACAGGATTGGCTGCGCAGAGGGCGTACTGGATGTGGAGTGGAGACACGAAGTGCGTACTGGATACGCGGTATAGGATTGGTTGTGCAGAGGGCGTACTGGATGTGGAGTGGAGACACGAAGTGCGTACTGGATACGCGACATGGGATTGGCTGTTTAGAGGGCGTACCGGAGCTGAGATATGGGCCAGTTTAAGCAAAAGTTTACGAGGACTTTACACGTGCCCTTTTCGATAAGGCGCAGGCCTTGGTAAAGCGCTGAAAAGAAAAGTGGCCTAATGCGGCTAGAGCTATCTCAGGTATTTATAGAGCTATTAAATACCTGACCCAGAGGGACCTGTGCTAGAGCTAGCTCATTGAAGCGTTGCTATTGGTCCTGAGGACACCACTCGCATAGAAGACACAATGCCATATGTATCCATCCAATGGCGGGAATAAGCATCGACAATGTGATAGAGAGCGATGGTCATAGGATTCGATTTTGCATAATACAATTACGGGCGTACCACGTTTCACCTACCCAGCTCTACATTTCAAGGGTCCAAGAAGCGCCAGCACGTGCGCTAGGAAATTCCTCATGCGTGTAAGTCCTCATGCGTGTATGCTACCTTATCCGTTCTTTCTAGCCGTATGTCATTTACTTTATATGAACTATGACACCGGGAATAATATCTGAAGAAGTCATCCATGGTGGTACATGGTTTACCGCCGGGCTCTGGCCCGTCACCGGAATCTCTATAGAGGTTGAAGACTGGCATAGCATTCGGTGTCCCGGTCATAGTGCCTTCAATGTCGCAAATTTCGATCAAAGAAACGGTTTAGGCAAGGCGGACATCGCGCCAATAGAGAGAGTCTCGGGGTGGGAACCGAGACCGCACCAGAATTCCTAAATTAGGTGGATGTAGGAGCAAGATAGCTGAATGGAAATATAGCTTTTCATTACAAACTTGAATGGCTGAGGTTGAATGGCCGATCGCCCTGAACATTCATCTCCTGATTGCTTGTACATGAATGGGATTTCAACATCTGAAAGAGATAAGACCTTCAATACGACAGCACGAATCACTATGTGAAATCATCGAAGTTAGGAGTAAATCTGGAGTGGACTTTGACTATCACCACTTTGAAATCAATATAGCCAGAAGATAGCCAGGGTGATGAGGACCAATATGTGACACAGGGTGATCGAAGTGTCGTCTGTGGTGGCTTTATGAGTGCCGAACCTGATGCGAGCCCAAATCTAACTCATGTCAGAAAATCGCACCGATTGGAAGATCAATATTAACCTACAAGCTCATTCGAAGAAGTACATATTCCCTGATATGGGTGTGAAGATCGACTGCATCTCTATTTCGGCGGCGGAGGGGGCGCTCCCGGCTTCTTGACGCCAGTAGTGTCGTACGCACCACGAGCCATAGGGAATGTGGTAATGGTATAATTCATTGCTGTTGCGTTTGCTGATATGACTGAGAGATTGAGAAAGATTCTATAAGTGCTCCAAACTTGAAAAATGATGCCAGGGGCAGAAAGCCCTAACTAAGTCACCAAGAGAAGCGAAGTCAGCGCTTACTTGATCAGGCCTAGTCTTTACTAGTTCAAGCTCATCCGCGGTATCATTTGGTATGTAAGATTGGATACAGGGGGCCTCAAAGCGGATCGTTGTCTAGTAAATTCAATCTGAAAGATCGATTTTTCCGGATATGGTAAGGGGGATTTGACCTAACTAATGATTCCGTCATAGCCCGGCTACAGTATCCCGAAAGTTTCCCAGGAAATGGACAATAAACGCTCATTCTTCCCGCGATTGAGCCGCGAGGATGCTCTGGTGGCTTGGGTCTGATGAGATACGGCTATGGTAGAGGCAGAATGTGTGAGAGGGATGAGGAGTGAGATCGCTGTGGGGGAGAGATTCTACCTAAGCTATGGACCGTGATGAGTGGCAGAATCACATGCCATGCAAAAAAGGTCCAGCTTGCAACACGGAAGAGAGTCCCTTACGATGATGTCACTGTACTATTCAAAAAGGATCTTCTAAACGGGAGTTTTTTGAATCTTATAAACGGGAGTGCGTGTTGTGAACATGACAGGAGGACTTGGAGTGCGGACTTGGATTTCTTCTGCAGAAGAAATCAGTATCGGAGGACAGGGACACGCCCACCACGTGTGCCACGCACACCACCTCAAAACTTGGGATGTCACTGTAGCCTCTTCTTCTTCTTTCTCTTTTCTCCGGCTCTTGAGATCCTTGAAACCACGCAGAGAGTTTAAATAAAAGTTTGAGTCCTTCTAAAGCTTTTCCTAACTGGCGTACAACAGTGCGCTGGGACTACTACATTCTTACCTAGTATTAGAGGGCTCTGTAGCCATCCTACTAAGCAAGACAGAAAGGTGAGGACTACTGTCTCCAGCCTACCAGAGGAATACAGGGAAAGCGTGCTCTATACGGTCCAGGTTGGTCAAGTCTTCCAAGATAAGTCTGGAGCATGACTACTTAATGTGTTGCAGAGCATGGCGTGCCGCTATCGTAGTTTATTCGAGTATTTTAGCTGCTCAAATCCTGGTACTAAATACAAAGCATATCTTCCTCTGAGATACGCGTAGGCAACCTAATATCTCAAGGTACAGGTGATCTACACCCACTAGGCTCGGCCTGTGCATAGTCGAGGTCTCGGAAGTACTATCGGCCCCCATTAGGTCTATTTTATACTGGTACAACATCTTTATTACCATCACATTCGGTCAAAGGGAATACTATCTCAGTGGCGTTAATTGCAATGATTCGTGCCAAAGTACTCAGATGTCACTGCGCTTGTCAGTAAGGCCTTTTAAATATCTCCGGCATGTGCATATTCAGTACCCTTTCATCGAAAGTGGACTAAGCTATGTATGCCATACTCAATACGCCTAATAGCTTCAGACTGTGTAAATGCGACATTGAAAGAAGGTCCTTCTTGATCCGAGCCGCTACTAGGTTTCAATTCCAGTCCGCCTTATATAGAATATTTTTCCCGGTTAGAAATATCGAAACCTATCTTAAGACAAATATGGAAAGTCGTGCGAAAAGAAGTAGACAGGGGTCAGTCCATGATAGTAAATTAAAAAACGGGGTAACAAGCAAGATAATATGAGATTATAAGTGCTTATGGTTACGATTAATATTTATCCAATTAGATTCAATTCTTAGAAATACCCCTAAAAGCGACTGGTCTATGTCCCACTACCATCAATTTGATACTGCGGGATGGCCAAAGCAGTCTTGTGAGATAAGCACAAGAGAATTTGGCAGCCTTATAAGAGGGCCTAGATGAGACCATCGTTGGTTTCTCCCACCTTTTTCACATAGCTGCAAATTGTCATTATCAGCTATAGCGTAGGCAGGTTGGAGTACAACTACCCCACCGCTGAGGTCCAATCGACCTAGGCAAACGTCTCTTCTCAGTTTAGAGAAATGCGGCCGACATCTTTATGAAAGGAGAGGGGACTACATACCAGGAAATGAGGTGTAAGGGGGTCAATTAGGGCTTAACGATATTCTCACCATAGGCAGGAAATCAAGCTTCCTTAGTCGCTTGAACTAATGATGAGCTGCTATTCATTAGCATACTGTTTGCACGGCATGTGATTCTGCCACTCACCACAGTCCATAGCTTTGGTAGAATCTCTCCCCTTCAACAATCTCACTCCTCATCCCTCTCACACATCGTGCAACTGCCCCTACCGTAGCTGCATCCCATCAGGTTATGAGCCCTGTTTAGCGCGTAAAAGTAAGGTTTTTACACTTCCTCACTGCCTAAGCCCCAACTTGTAAAATAACCGAATCAACACGCTGCATACGCAGCTTCATCGCAAAGCCGCCGGGGCCCAAAGACCCCAAGCACCGGCGCACACAGAAAGACGAAAACGTCAAAATCCCTATAGGCTACACAAAGCCACCAATCCGCAGAGGATCCAGTCAAAGATCAAAGAGCTACCGGTCTAAATAACACCTTCGATTCGCATCAACCAATAAAAATCAACACCATATTCGGTCAATTTGAACGCAAAAAGTGGATCATCTTGAGCGCAAAAAGCGCCTGAAAAATCAGCTAAAACGGGATATTTCGATGCAATCAAGGCGATCGATAGCCTATCAGAGCAAGTCACCACCCTCCAAGGGAAGGAAAATTACGAATCATGGAAAAGAGAAATCGCCCATGTGGCTTGTATCATACACAAAGATCTATGGCTCGTTATGACCGGTGCAAAAAGGTGTTCAATTCAAGCACCCAGAAAAGCACCAGACGCTGATGCTATTCGCGAGCAGCTCAGGCCTCAACGTGGTGGCTTCGACCCAACCTCAGACAATATTCGAGCCTGGCTCAAACAGAATATCGATGAGCCGAATAAGGAATTCGAATGGTTCGAAGGAAAGTACCAGATTGCGACCCACCTCATCTACTACACCGTCAATAAGATCGCAAGAGGATTTATCGCCGATAGTTCTAATTCATACGATTAGATAAAGGTACTTTACAACGCGTACGGATCTGCATTAAAAACAGCCTACACCAATCGGCTCTCGAATTTTCTGGCTATCAAATACACCGGAGGTAATCCTTACACGTTCGTTGATAAGTGGCGAACGGCTTCTGAAGACTTCAACGCCACTGTTCCTGACCACCCCCTGGGCCATGAAATAGCCTTAGCTTTATTCAAGCTTGCAGTCCAAGGGAGGCCAAGCGTGAAGGTTTTCATTAATACCTTCGGGCCACCTGCCAACCGCGAAAGCTTCCTTGAACATATATATGGCAAGTTCCTCGAATGGGAATCAAATGAAAAGACTGCAGGTGCAGCTATAGCTGCAACCTCTACAAATATTGAAAAAGGCAAGGGTAAAGGAAAAGACTTCGAAGAAAGGAGCCACTTCAATCGCGGAAGAGGACGCGGCCGTGGCCGCGGCCGAGGACGAGGTGCACCCCATTTTTGTTCCTTCCACAATCGCCCAACTGGTCACACCAGGATGAGTGCTGGGATAATCCTAAAAACAAATGAAAAGGCGCCTCCCAAGACGGACCAGATGTGGCTGCTGCGAAAGCCGATTCTTCGAAATCTGACTCGAAGAATTAGGAGAAGGAAAAATCGTCCAAAAAGGCATCTTCGAGCTTTGCGGAATTCAGTGCATCAGTAGCTACCATTTCTTTCGCGTGCTCCATTCACTTTGCAGCCAATTTGGCTGAGAACAATCAATATGCGGGGATGGTTGACTCTGGCGCAACGGACCATATGACTCTATACCGCGCAAATTTCATTCGTTTCACGTCCTTTATCACCCAAGTTAGCTTACCCGATGGCCATCATGTCCATACTGAAGGATATGGTGATGTTGTGCTCAATTTCAGCACCGATGAAGGTCCTACGGAGCTCCTACTACGCAAGATTTGGTGCATTCCATCATCCCATGTGAATCTCATCTCCTCGTGGCAACTAGCCAAAGATTCGGAAATTGAAACGCGATTCGGCAAGGATGAGGGTTCCCTTATTAAGGGGGGACGCCAGATCGTTACTGCGCATCAAATCACCGGCCAATATTGGGTCCATACAAGCGCAGGAGATAGCCAGATTGATACACTTTGCGCATATGCAGTAGAGCTGTCTCTTGTGAAGGAATCACATCTGGTCAGTCAGGAATCTGACATTCACGCTGCGGCTTCAAAAGCTTCGAAAATCAAGCCGATCCCAATGCATCTAGCTCATAAAAGAGTCTGCCACGCAGGCGAGCAGAAGGTCAAACGCATGCCTGAATATGCCGATGGTATTCAGATCCAAAAGGGTACTGGCATTATTACAGCCTGCCCTCCCTGCATTCAAGGAAAAGGCCATTCCCTAACATTTGGTAAGGGTAAGCGCATCAAGACCACACCTGGCCAGAAGCTTCATACCGACATTTCCGGTCCAATTCAAGAGGTATGTAGAAATTATAAAAACGAGTCCGAAACACCTCACGTTTTTGCAAGATGATTCTAGTTGAACTGGGCGCATATTTCATTGGTTCGTGGGAGCAACCGAAGCGATGGGTTTCCATCTCGAATGAAGCAATCACCTGGATCTCTCCATGGATCTATATATCTTCATAAACTCCAGTCATTTTCGCGTAGAACTTGTCATCGAAACTCATTGGTTGGTCTTGATGTTTTTTTGTCTCTTTCGGGACTTTGTCGATAACAGGTCACTTTGCTCAGATACATTCGAAAAGGTCAGAGCGACGACGATCAGACTTCGCATATCTTTGTATGGAAGATAGAATGGCTAGGCTGGGCAATACTCATTAATTTGACGGGGAGAGACAGGAATAAGGAAAGGGAAGCCAGAGATCTTCGACTTATATGTGCAGAAGGCAACAGACAAACATAGTAAAGAAGAGAGAAGGAGGGCAGATTTCTGTGAGCGACATCAGGGAAACACAAGACAACATCAATCTCAAGTAACCGACCATAGCCTAACAGTCGGAGTGTAAAAGAGGCTCTGGTACTGTACATAGTCTCAACTTGATTGTCCTTGCCAATTTGTATGGCCTTCCCACCTCCGACTTTCCTAGGGAAGGAGGGTACATGGGAGATTGACGAGGCACTCGAGGACGGTCGGTGATCCGACAACATTGAGATGTCCCTGGTACACTGGCAGGGAGATTTTCATCTCCCAATGCTGGGGATTATTTAGTCTTCGCCCTCTTATCCCAATAAGTATCGACCCTTCCATGAAAGCTTCTTCCGAGTCCTCTGACTCGTTTATGTGGGTTAGAAACGAGTCTCTTCTTTGAATAAAATTGATACGGATAGGTCAGAACGGGAAGTGGTCTGCGTGGTAGAGTATGTTCCACCGTCAGAAGAAGTATTATGAGCTACCTGCACTTGCAGGCAGCAAACAGAGAGCTTGAATGGAGGGCAGTGGGTTATGAACACCGATGCTCTTCTGGTTCACACTCATGTTCCTCAGAGAAAGAAGCATGCAGATTGGCAGACTGACCTGAGGCCTTCGTGACATTATTTGCACTTAGCTACACAGTTAGGCAGACTTAATGATAGTGATGCGGAATTTAGGGACAGCGAGTGATATCGCGTGAATGTTTTAGTGTTTTCTAGTACTAACAACTTGTAGAACCAAGTGAAGTCGTTGAGCTTATTTTTCGATCACAATTCTCGGCAGCCTTGCCTACTGAGCCGAGTACAACTGACGATTTCACATCCAGTGCAGTCGTTCTCGTAGGCTTTGTCAGGTAAGCAGAGACTGTTCTCACATTGAATGATCGCTGACTTTGCCCAAACATCGAGGGTTAGGCGGTAATTCAAGATTGGAAATTGGAATGATGCTGTTGGTGACGTGTATTTTTCTGTTTTCCGAGAGAACATAAGGGCACGATGCAGGGAAATGCCCATGAATTGAGCTCAGTTCATCATTCTGAGGCGGACGCGGACGCGTACGTACTTTGCATTGTTAGTCCTACTTTCCCGGAGTGGCCTATTCCTTCAAATTTGTAATAGATCACCACTCTTCGGATTTCAGAGTGGTCCTCTGTCTCCCAGGTCAGCTTGTACAGGTGTTCCTTGCTGACCTGGCTTATTCTAGGAGCAGACACACCAGACGGACCCCACAGATCTAATGCCGCTGATGAGTTTTCCCTTCACTGCACTCTTCTTAGATAGAGACCGGCCGTGAACCCCGTGGTAGGATGGGTGCGCGGAGAGAGTACTACATGCTCGGGAAGTAGCCTACCGCTACTGACATCAATTTAAATTTCTGCAAAAGTAACTGGACGGCACAGTTGTTGTACGCTAGAATAGAGAAGCTTCAGAAGGACTCATAAACTTCCATTCAACTGTCTGCGTGGTATCAAGAATCTCAAAGGCTGGAGAGGAGAGAAGGAAAAGAGAAGAGGCTACAATCTATCCTGAGTTTTGAGACGGTGCGCGTGGTGTGCGTGGCACACGTGTCTCCTATCCTCCCTCTCGTCCTGAGTCCGTTCAGTCCTGCCATGTTCACAACAATAGTGACTAGGCGGACAATAGACGGTATTGAGGCTCCTGGGGAGTGTCTGCCAGATAACCGCGCAATGCCACATAGTTCTTCACAATGGTATCGTTTTATCTTATTGAAATCTATACTTCATGTCATCATTTTCATGATTTCGATGCGTGGTGATAGAGCTTGAAACAAGAATGGCGAGGAACTTTGCGACGCACTCGCTAATGATTTACTAGGCGCATTTGTTACAATTGCGTACATGCGGGATTGGCGTTCTGGGTATATGGAGTTGAATAAATATTTGACGGGGACTGTATGTAGTAGATAATAGTTGTGTTACCTTATCACCTGCAGACACAGTCTACCGGTGGCTTCGTACTGTATATTGGGTACGGTATGGATCAGCGCCACGAGAATAGCGGGACGGGAATCTCTTAGTAAACTACGCCTGCCGCCTATTCACCCTCGGCTGGTGTTGCCAACTCGGAAATAGATAAGGCATGAGATTTAGCCCAGCTGGCACGGTCTGGGTTCTCATATAAGCCAGTAAAAAACTTTGGTGTTCGTTTTGATACCGGTTATGATTACCACGGGTACTTTTGAAACCTACGAAACATTCTTGACGGTGGTTTGATAAATCCATGGTTTAGGGTTTTGTTGCTGCTATGGGGGAGATTCAAACAGAAATCGACTAGAGACTTAGGTTCAGCCTCGCACTAGGCCCTATTAAGCCCTCATCAGCGCAAGGTGCCATTCATGCCCGTGTTTGGTATAGCGTTACTGCATACTCCACAGCGCTTAGATCCATATGGAAAGGAAAATCCAAGCTGCAATATTTAAATTCTTTGAAATCAGGAATTTACTGTTTCACATCTGGAAGTTCAAATAAGATCGTGTATTTAATTGAAGGTGGGAAGGACGGAAAGAAAGAAATAAAAGGAGTAACGCCGGCCGATTAATATATCAGCATGTCAGGAGTAAGTTTGTCCCTTCCAAGTCCCTGTTTGTTTTGATAGTCCTTTAGAGCACGTCGATCGCGCGAGTGTGTCTTTTTCATGACAAAACTGGCCACACTATCTTTAAAAGAGCAGGTATGGGATCAAAGGTGGCCATAATACCAGACAGATACGGCGGCTGGTGCCCGTGTGTGGTGAACTCCGTGTGATTACTCGGGCGAAGTCAGCACATGTACCGTACACGAGAAGCCTGGCATCGCGCTTCCCCAAGTATGAACTTCAGAGTGGTATCGGTAAGCACAGCAGTTGTTTGTATGAATCACAAGATCCCTGTCTTTATTTACCTGAAATTGGCCGTTGGTGGAAGTTTGCCACGCTTTTGCGCCAGCTTGTGTTAGCAACCAATCTAGCAATGATATGCACTGTGACTCGTGGGGCTAGACTGCGCAATGGTCAGAATGTCTCGGACATATCGCGCTGTGCTTTTCTCATTTACCAATTCTCGTCTTTCCGATACCGCGATCAATATTCCCCGGCAGCCATCACACAAGGATTCTTTAGCACAGTTTTTCTAGAACTTTGGGTCTAAAGAATATTAGCCGCGTTGCTCACCCAAGCGACTATTGTAAAGGCCCCTGAAATTAAATGGACATCATGGGCGCATTGCACTTCCTCCAGTCTACACCTTTTCACCCTCTCCACCGTTCCATCCTGTGCGTGAGTACAGTCTGCGGGAATTCTAGACCAAAGACGGGAGAAGTTGGCACATTGCGCCATAGAGAGCTCAATACAGCCTAGTACGCAGCTAAACCCCCTCCTGGGCAATCATGTAACAATCTCGAGCTTAATCGAAATACACTGCCGCGCCCATGGATTGAAAGCCCATTACCAAACACGTATTATAAAAGTCAAAGCACCCGTGCAGGTAATTATTATAATCGGTACCGAACCGAGATCCAAAATTCTGCACCCGCTTATAGGAGGACCCAGACCGAGAAAAAGATGTCCCTTTTGCCTGACTTGCTCGAGGTGAGGCCACTGATTAGTTGACAAGAGGGCGAAATAAACTCTGACAAATGATCCCTCTTCTACCTCGGATATCCGCACGGGGCTGATCGGACTAGGAATAGGAAGCGAGTGTAGATTGGATGATTATTAGGCGTGACAGGGGAAGAAAGATGGGGGGGGGGGGGGGGGGGGCAGAACAAGAGGGCGGAGGAGTTATTTTGGTATACTACGACACTCAGTATAATGTCTACTTAAATTTTAGGGAGTGACAGAAAGAAGATCTCAGCAAACTGTTTGAGCTCTCTGTATCTTACCTACAAGTATCCACTTCACGTTGATATTTTACCTTTTACCAATATATCAAACCGCAAACCACGACGATGCCGATATCACAAAGCATTCAAGATTATCGGCTGATAGAGCTCCTTGCTAAAGATATTCAAGTCGGATAGGGTTATATGAGGTACTGCGGAGGTTCCCTCCAAGCTTGGGCAGGTTTTCCCTTTTGCCTCTTCCTAACCCTCTTTCGATCTCTGTTGCTTCAATCTATGCATCCAATTAGGCTGAATACTGACCATATTGACGACTGCTACCAAGACTAAGAAGACCTACCCCCCTACGGTGAAATACAGACTTTTCTTGAAATCGCGTGAGAAAGGGAGACGATCGTGATACTTTTCCAGGGCGAGAACTTGGAAAAATAGATAGTGCAAAGGTATAGGATATTTTGACCAGCTTTCTTAGACGCTTTATGTGAAGACACCTGAATTGGTTGTACGGACGTGTTTGGTTGAGTATGTGAGTGAGTATGCCTCTGTAGGTACATTCCATAACTGTATAAGAACAGAGTATCAGTGTCAAAGAGTCTGAGATGCATTACGGGCTTGATAGCCTGTTGGCTAGGCAGAGAGTTGAAGGCTATGTCAGTCAGAAAGCCGGCTCCAATTCACATTGTTAGTGTCTTGTTTCTCATCGTTTCGACATGACCCCAAACAAAATCAGTCTAATTAGTGTTCATCCTAAAATAGAAGTGGACGATCAGTCCAGTGAGCTATTTGGGGGAAAATCTGGTCCTGGTTGGTGAATAATTCGAGCAATCCAAACAGGCCATCAGCTAAACCATTATCATTCTTCAACCTTACACTTGCCTTGCACTAATTTTGGGAGAACTAGAACTCTTCCCCGGGTATCTCCAGCTGGTACATGGTTGCGAGGGCCCTGGCTGTCTACACATGGTCCCGAACATGCTCCGTAAACGATTGAGACTGCAGAAGTATCGCGTTCACAAGGAATGCAACACATATTTAGACAAACCTGAGTCAGGTTCTGTGGTAAGGTTTTTGTCATCCGTTCATCAAAGGTTTGTTTTGTGGGGCAGCGCAGTGTCGAACCGATGTAAAATTTCCACGGCTAAATTAATATACAACAAGTGTGTCAAAAGGCCTCAAAAAGGTATACGCGAGGCATCGACATTATGAGGTTTTGCTTAATACAACAATTTGAAAACAAAGTCGATCGTGTTGGTTACAACAATCTGGAATTCTTCATCACCTTTCTGCGTCCCCCCAATGGTCGCTACCAAGGATATAATAAGATCTCCATCCCGAAGCTCAGAGCCAGCTGAAACCGTCTCAACCGATACAGTAGTGTGTTTGCATGCAGAAAACGCATCTGATCATCAAAAAATTTGGAAGGATCGACTTTGCAGCCAGTAAGAACTGCTATCAAAACATATCGCCCAAGATCGGTTTTTGTGAAAGCCTGGTTGCTAAATTGCGAAGATACTTTTCGTGGTATCTCAGGCTGAAGGCCATCACAAATGGCAGCCCAGTAGTCGCCGATTTCATTCTTGGTGACATCGAAGCTTTCTTCACCGAATTCTTGTATCCACGCGTTCACGAGTGCTTTGGGAAGCATTATAGAACCTTCTGACCCTTAGCTGAAAACAACGACACATATCAGAGTTCGCACGATCACATACCGTCAACGATAGCCTGGTTTCCGGGAAAGGGAACGCCCAAAATCATAGCAGATGCAGTTGAAGGGCAGTGAGGTGATTCGATGTAGTATGGATCACGGATATCTGGCGGGAAAGGATGTTTACAAGCGAAGATTGGAGGGGAGGAAAATACACATTGATCTAGGACAGAATATTAGAATTGACCTAAAATATCCATCGACTGTAGCCAACTCCTGCTTCGCCACCGCACTGGCTGCGAATGAGACGCCTCACTCATCACACCTCTTATCAGGCGTCATTGCCGTATACCGTCCGCGGTTCAGGGGCAATCTCTTGGCGAACCCATCCGACATCAGTGAGATCTCAAGTAAAGGACAACTGCCCATTTCAATCATTTCAGCATAAGGTCAAAACATTCGATACGACCCAAATGCCACTATATATGTCCTAACACAGATAAGGCAGGAAAGTCGAAGTTCAACTGGGAATGAGATCGAAAGTGCAGTATCTTCTTTGTGCATCACTTCAAAGCAGAGCCTTTATAGTAGAAGAACTGGATTGCATGATTCTAGATATGTTAGAGGAGTCGACTGCGTGCCCGTGATCGGTGATTGGTTTAGTCTTACGAAGGAACCACCTGTTCAGTATGGGGAGGCAATAGACTGAATAAGGATATTCCTCTGGAATATGGAAAATGTTAGGAAAGACGTATTCGCACTGGGAACAACCCGGATCGACAATACGTGCTTTCTCCATACGCGAGTTATGCCGAGCTCACTCCTCGTGCTGAAGTAGTGTGAAGGGCGGCCCAGAATACACCCGTGCCGTGCAGTGGCATTGCGAGATCTGATCTCAACTCAAACAACCAGTGTTGCGCATTTCTGCTCTGCTTCGGTCTTGATTGGGTCAACCGAACCAGCCAAAGTTGCGGTGTTGCTCGATTCAAGGCTGACTCTTTATACCTCACAGCTGAGAGGGTTTCCTCTATATTGAAGACCCTCTGATTTTCCTAACGACCCCTGAATGGACGTACTTATCCAAGTTTGGGCCCAAAGTCTCTTGCCACTGATTTCGAGCCTTTTGTAGAGAGGGTTGGGCTATTCGCGTGGCCGCTTCTTACCTAATCCCGCCTCGCGGGGCCCCTGGTCTTTTTGGACGGGGACCAAGTCGGTTATACTCTACCTTGGTATTCACTCAAGCATCTTCCTCATATTCACCGTCGCAGAAATGTTGCCCAACGATCGATTTTCATGTCTTGAATGTCGTTCACCCCTTCGTAATCGAAGCCCAGCAAAAGAGACATGTTCGAGCTCTCCCCATCCGGCTCATCGACCACCTCCGTGGGCACCACTTCCACGGTGGCATCCTTATGGGCCAATTGAGCCTCCGGTGAACGTCTCCCCGTCATGGCACGCTGGCTTGCATGCATCTCTGAACCCGCCGGTGCGAGGCATGACCCCTCAGGAGAAGCCCATTGGCCTTGGGGAAGCAGCCCAAGCTAGCATGTCTTCTACCTCACCCAGACAAGGCTCGTCTGCCGCACCTTGGCCATCTATGTTGCTAGCATCTCAGCCCTTGTCGACCATGTCACTGCAACATCCCAGAGGACTTTCTGGATCACCGGCTTTAAGCTACTCTTCCCCAATGGAGGGGGCTGTATTCGCTTACGCAAGGACAACTGAATCTTCAATTTTTTCCCCAGAGCCCTTGGTGAACTTTGGTCACCAGCAGCCCCCCTTACCATCTCTCGCCGACTCACCGATGTCTCACAATGCAACAATGCGAGTTCCCGCCTCATCACCAGTACTGACACCATTGACTGAACGCTCACTCAATTCACCATCCAACGTCTTTTCAGGACACATGAGCACCGGTATATCCCTACGGGTTCATCCTCGTCCTCTCAGAGCGAGGCCATCAACGCCGCAATCCATGGTCAGGCACGCCAAACACACCTTTCCTGTGGTCGCAAGTATTTCAGTGTCTCATTGTGCAGCGACAGACTCTACATCAGCATCCTCGGATTACCCAACACCTGAGCTGATAGGAGCAATATCTGCAACAGGACTACCTGATCGCAACTTGGCGGGTGGAGAGCCCGGGACGCAAGCAATGATTCCATGCTTATTAGATCTGGAATCGGGGTCTTCTAAGCAAGCCGAAAAACGAAAAGCCAATAGCAGAGCTTCCAAGGGATTTCGTAATCGCAAGAAAAGCCACAAGGAACTGGAGCAGCGACTTGATGCCAAACAGGACGAGATTCTACGTCAAGCAGAAACGACCAGGCGCAAGGTCGAAGAAATCCAATTCTTAGTGAGACAGAGCGATCACTACCGAATGGAAAGGGACTTTTTCAGAGGCGCCTATGAGCAGTTACAGTTAGATGGTTCAACAGACTCGTTACAGAGGCCATCCTCACCACGACCAATTGACCTGACCATGGTATCGGGAGCGAACACCCCAAATATGAACAGCCTCGGGTGCGATATCAGTGAAGACACAACCTGCACCTATGCGGCTATCAGAGTCAGTTCAATCTCGACGCGAGTGGGTAACGTCTGACGTCTTGTCTACATTCTCAAACACGCTGAGCCGATTGCTGGTTCGGCTGGCCCTCACGCACGACCACACCTTCTTCACTCATCTCAATATTCTGCCAGTGATGCCCCACCCTACATATACTCAGTGTCGATGACTGCTGTGTCTTTGATCCCGCCGCTGAAACTTAGGTCAAAATCTCAGACTCACCTCAAAAGCTTCGAGTTCTCATCTTATTTTCCGGTGGATTGTTCTTTTTCTCAGCCTACCGCAAAATGCGAGATTGCGCTATGGCACATATTCTGACATTTAAATTAATGTCAGATTGGAATTGCAATATCAGAGGCCTTGCAAATAACCCTGCCCGTAGCTTACATATTTGCTCCTTGTTCGCTGTTCGACACGCAGAGCTTCTCGAAAGGTACTGTTTTGAAGCTGTCGGTTTTTTGTATCCCTGGATGTTGTATTTGAGTGTGAGTATCGATGCAATACCATGGATAACACAAAGCAAAATGCGGTGACCCATCCCTTACAAAGAATTATCCCCAACAATCTTGAGCTCCTTCTCGGACACATGGGGGCTTGGGTGCCTGACAGAGACTTAATTTGTGCATTTGGTATAATTATCTCTTCATTAAGCGAAGATATCTATCGTACACATTTGTGTGCATTCTTATTCATAACGGGTCTTGCTCATTTACCAATCCCTCATTTCTTCCATCATCCTTCTCATTGTTAGAAATCCCGAGTTTTTTTCATCCGGTTCGATTCACTACAGGAGCCGAAAGCCTCTTGGATCAGGTTGCTGGTGTGAGTGGATCTCAACCTGAACCTGGTATCAGTTGGAATGACTGGTGGTATTCGAAAGTGCGTTTCTTGATAGTAAGCTCGGTTGCGGGGGCATCTGTGATAGGCACTCCCCGATGCTCGTGGAGGAGGGGGTGGGTGGTGGGTGTTTGAAATGACCGAGATTGAAGTCGGCCGATCTAACTATATATTGTCTTACCGAGAATGGTATCAAGAGAGGAGGCGGAAGGTGCGATTATCGGATTAGAGAGCATTGAAAAGGTGTGGTCGGACACTGGGGCTGTATTTCCTGTTTGACAATGAGGGCGGACCGCTGGCTATGGAGGCCTATGTGGGAACCCGAGGCGTTGCGCTTGTAAAGGCAGAAGGTCTAGACGAAGAAAATATGGGTCTTCATTCCAGCAAGGTCGTCGTCGAACGGAGTAAGTCTAGCGGCCAAGTAAAAAGAATTGCGGATGTGGAGTATCATTAGGACTGAGTAAGTGAGGCTCTTCAAGATGGGGCGTACTACTTGGATGGCGTTCTTCAAACTATCTACCTGTCTTCACCAAACATCGAGAGTGAGGTGAGGAGTCCAGACTGGAAATTGGAATGGGGCTAATGGTGAGAAATATCGGTTTGTTTCAGAGAAAGTAAAAGGGCGCGAATGCAAAAAGAGACCAAATGAATCGAGCTCGGTCCGCTTCTCTGGGTGTGGACGCGAACGACACGTACGTACTTTGCATTGTTGGTCCTACTTTCCTTTTGGGGCTTATTAACTAAAATCTGTGATAAATTACCACACTTTGGTTCCTAGAATGGTTTGTTGTCCGCCAGACCACCTCGTACTGGTGTTCCCAGTAGACATGATCTATTGCCAGGGGCAGACAAAGCTGACAGACCAGACAGATCCAATGCTGCTGATGAGCACTCCCTCCACTGCCCACTGCACCAACCACAGATAGAAACCAGCCGTGATGCCTGTGGTAAGATGGGTGCGCAGAGAGAGGACTGCATGTCAGGCAAATAGTCTTACGCCATTGGCATCAATTCGATGAGTTCCCAGCATAGGTAGCTGTGCTTTGTAGCGTCTTAGGCGGACAATTGCCATACCGGTGGGTTCGGCCTTGCGGATAATGTATACAAATGACACTCGAATAAATTTTAGGCATGAAAATTAGCCCAGCGGGCACGGTCTATGTCCTCCTACAAGCCAGTACAAGATCTTCAATGTCGTTCTGATACAGGGGTTTATTTCCACAGGCACTTTGAAAATCATAAAACATTCTTGACGGTGGTGGTCAATCAATCCATTGTTGGGGGTTGTGTTGTTGATATGGTGGAGATTCAGACAAGGATCGACTAGAGGCTTGGGTTCAGCCTCGCACTAAGCCCTATTAAGCCCTCTTCGGCGCAGATTGCCATTCATGCCTGTATCTGGTCTAGCGTTCCTGCGTACTCCAGTAGTACAGCGCTAGGATCCAACGAGAAAGGAAAAGCCAAACTGCAATCCTCGAAATTTTTTAACTTCCGGAATTTCTTGTTCCGCGCCAGGAAGCTCAAATGAAATTGTGCGTTCTAGCGAATATGAGAAGCTCGGGGAGAAAAAAAGGAAGAAGTAACGCTAGCACATTAGTAAATCAGTATATTATGAGTGGGTTTGTCCTTCTTTCATGGTCCATGTTTGTTGTGATATTCTTTCCAAGCACGTCGAAAACGCGAGTGTGTCTTTCCATGGAAAAACTCGTTGCTCCACCATTAATAGAGCTGGCATGGGATCAAGAGTGATCATAATACCAGGCAGATACGGTGGCGGCTGGTGCCCGTGTTTGGTGAACTTCGTAGGATTACCCGGGTGAAGTTAGCCCTTTGGCCGTACAAGGAAAGCCTAGCATCGCGCCTCCCTATAAGTGAGCCTCAGAAGAACATCTGTCTAGAATGGCTGTTGCCTACTTGACGTTAGGGATCCCCTGGGCCAGTAGAATCCTTCCCTCCCGTTATTCACCGAATTCTTTTAAGGATTAAGGAATGAAAGAGGAAAACCTTCTTGTTTGTTTGTTTCTAAGATTAGAGTTCGAATTAACGTTGAGAATGAAGTTCGTTGAAAGAAAAAAGGGACTGGAAAATAGGTGACTGGTGACATTGGATGCACAGGACGTTCACATTTTGTGATTCCCGATATGCACCCCTAGTACTCTGAGACATTCCTCTATTGAAGCAACCACTCACCACTGGATTCTGCGCCCTGTGAAGGATTTTCTATGATGGGAATGAATAGCTGGCGCAAGTTCTGGTAGGGATTAAAGCAATAGACATGTGTAATATACTGTAAAGAAATCGGCTGATGGAGAAGAAAACCAAAGAAAATCTGCCGAAGGCACCCTCGCCATTTTATTATGCAGCACCCCTGCGAGTCATAGGTCACACCATTACTGTCTTAGTTGATACCACGCGCTAGCATGAATGAGTGCTATTTGCTGTGTCTATCGATGGGCATTTGCCCGGTAAGTGACGACATGGATCTTGTCACCGAGACAGAGCATAACCAGTATGAACTGGTACGTGTTGGACGTATAGTTCGTACTGGGGCCGAAACCTGCGTAGGAAGCCAGATATTTGTTTTTGTCAGAATAGTCCTGATACGTTATGTAGTCGCTGATATCTACATACTAAAGAAGTGATCTTGGCCTCTACGGCTGAAGTCGCTTGTCCTACCCCTTCTCCGACGCCTGAAAACTGGGAATCAAATCTCACTAGCAACATCCAAAGGACTGGTATTAGCTAGCGAGCCCGAGCCCAGGACTTGAGAGGGAAAAAGACAGCATCATTGGCCGAGCAGGGTTCGCGAAACACCCCCAAGAGATATTACATGTACTCATTCGGACTCGCCGAGAACACATTAAGACTTGATCCATGAGACGTCGAAGGAAAGATAATCGGAGACACACGGCTAGGAAGAAGAGAAACGTGAGCATACACACAGGTGGACTTTTCTGCCGTATATGGTGTGTTTCTATGACCTTGGAGTGTAGAGCTAGGCGACAGAAGGTAGGTCCGCCCGTATGTTGCGCGAGGGATATTCTCTGTAATCGAATATGGTAACCATTGGTCCCCAATTACAGTGTAGATGGTTCATGCCACTGGATACCTACGGCGTTGTGTCCTCCATGCGAGCAGTGTCCCCTGGAACCAATGGCAAAGTTTCAAAAAGATAGCTCTGGCACGGACCCCTCTGTTTTTCACAGCTTCTGACCTGCCGTACTTTTCCCTCTCCCGCCACGCTTCGGCAGCGTTGCCTCTTTTTTCTGATGCTGATGCAGCCCTGAATTTTGAGATTTTCGGAGTAATGATGGGCAAGCACACTTTTCCATTTTGGCTTTACCAAGTACCCGAGCTTTTATCACGACAAAGATTTTCTTAGCTCAAACACTTGGTTGAATGGCTCTCTTGGGATAGTTGTTATTCGCCCATGTACCCTGAATATATCTACTACCTTGTCAAAAGTTTCAGAAAGCCTCCGTTCCAGTCGACTCTATGAAGGCTGTATCTTCGACAAGAACCGAGATTCAACATCACATGCATTGTTACGATGGACCTTGGCCAGTGCGTAATTGACCAATACATTTGCAATACCGCACCCAAGTTGAGGTTGAGATAGTCAAAGACACCTTGGGGAATAGCCGTGGCGATCCGCACTGCCGTAACAAGTGCGCGCTATCGTAAATTCTCTGGTCCAGAGGGAGTAAAATCTCTACCACGGGTACAGGCTGCTTTCGAACTTTTTTCTAGCTATAGCCTTTATTTATGGCCCTTGGATCTTCCGCTTGTCGAAAGTCTCCAACTAGGAACGCTATCACTGGCAGTAACTACTCGACTGTAGTTCCTTTGGGAATGTTCTATCCGCATCGTTATCGCTCCCGAATGGCTTGCCCCCAAAATCAGATTCAGTCCGGATCCACTACCCTCGAGTGCGATTTGACAAGCCGGCTCCTCGACACTCCGTAGAGACAAGATACAGCCCCTGTTCGTAAGTCTTTCTGATGTGGGCAACGATAATACACTTTCAGAATCCGACAAGCAGTGTCCGCTAATCCCGCCTAGTACCCGTATCCTCGGGAGCTAGCGGATCACGTGCCATGCGACCTGCCGGCTGACGTTGAATCATCGGTCAACCAATCAATCAATCAAAGTCCTCACAGTCCCACCTCGAGCTATCACTAAAAGCACCAAGATGTGTGCGGCACTACCTTTGATCAATTTGTCCATGCCAATCTCGGATGCATTGTCCTCAGAGTTGGGAGCTTCCCTCTATCGGTTTAGAGCCTTCCGCTTAGCAGCTCCGATTCCTGACACCACACAACGCAATTACAAAACTGTCGTCCAAAAGGTAGGCTCAGCTTGCTGTCCAACATTGGTGCCCATCACTAACGCACTTTTAGGCTCGGGAGTTTTTCCAACAGCCAGTGGCTACTAAGATGAAATTGACGGAATACTCGGCATTTGCGTCAGAGCGCGTTCGTGGGGAGACTGCGATATACAAAGAAAGCGCCTATTATTTCCGAAATGACGTCGAACCAAAGTATTCCACGGGTCCGTCAGACAACCTGTTTCTTTCCATCAAAGCTCTACATGAAGTAAGTCTAGTATGACTCACTAATTTCTATTTTATCGTTCATTATGCTGATTCTCATGTCTTTTCAAGGAGTGGACTCCAATCAGACTGGATTTGTTGAATATTTTGTCGCAAGTTCTGTCGCAAGCACCCGAAAAAAACGTTCCTCTAACCGGCGACTCGACTCTCAACTCGAGTACTGTTGGCGTCCACTACTATGACTCCTCTCGCTGTCTTTCCGACTGCAGCGATTATCTCAGTCCGTCGCATAAGGACAGCGGCAGATTGAGAATTCTATTCCGGTCACATGATAAGAACGACGGCCTGGAGATTGCCGATCTCGAGACCACAGAAAAACGAGGCAGCGAAGGAGTTGGGTCGGAGGCATTCTTCATACCAGTCCCAACACCAGGGAACGATATGACTGAGGTGGTCGTCTTCGCAGGTATAAAACTCCAGAATTTATTTGGCCGAGACCGAGTTCAAGCTTGCGTACACAGAGTACGTGGTCCAAGCCCCGAAAGCCGTACAGAATCCTGTGTCCGGCGCTTGAGTATAGCGATGTTTTGCGCTCCTTCCATACCTGCCGCTTCAATTACCCCACCCTCCCAATCATAGGTGAATGTAAATCTAGCCAGGTTGTGAATCCAGTGTCTCCCCCAAAGGAATACCATTCGACATTGTAACAATGTAACAAGTATCTTTCCCGAGCATGCAGTAGTATAGAGCAAGAATCGTTGAATCAGAAAGCCGACCGCTTCATTGCTTGCCCTATGTGCCCGGCTTGGCTGGTTCTAACGCTTCTTTCCCCTGATGTCTGCAGCAGAATCCAAGTTTTTCATATTCGTCTGAGGTATGATGACTGTGGCCTTCTTTCAGAATTGCGGACCATTCCTGTTCCGTAAAGAGGTCATGGTGTTATGGGTGGTGCTAGGCTGCCCTTCAATACCGGCCAATCTTCTTGAGCTGTGGCTGAAGGCTCTGAGGCTCCGCATCGACCGCGGCAAACG